GTCACTCAAATCAGAAATGGTAATAATAAAAATAATAATAATGATAGTAATGATAAACTATTTATAGAGCACTTTCTAAAATTTAAGTTACAAAACGCTTGACAAAGGTGGCAATAAAACAGAATCAATAAAATCAATGAGATTCTAAGAGAAGAAAAACAGATAAAACTATTAAAACAATCAGGTGTATAAAAACCAACACAGTAATTTTAAGAAAAATTCAAGGGAAAGTAAAACCAGGGAACGCTCTCTGATAAAAGTATGTTTTAAGAAGAGTCAGAGGTTACAGACTCAGCCGACCTAATTTCCTCAGGCAGATCGTTCCAGATCCTGACGCTCTGACCCTTTTAGTTTTCATGCTCTGGAACAGACAGAAGACCTTCACCAGAGGATCTCAAGGTTCTGCTGGTGTGCACACAACTAAGAGGTCAGAGATATAGCCAGGCCACAGAGAGCTTTCAAACTAATCAATAAAATCTTAAAATCTATTCTAAAACGTACTTGGAGCCAGTGTAGAGAGGCTGAAACAGGAGTGATGTGGTGGCGTCTCTTGGTTCTGGTTAAAGTCTGGCAGCTGAGTTCTGTACAGTCTGGAGACGATCAACAGATTTCTGGTTGAAACAAAGTAAAAAGACAGCGGATATCTAGAGATAGATAGATACAAAGATACAAAATAAAGCGCATATTTTGTATCCCCTCCCGACATTGACGTTTGCTTATGTTGCCTGGTAAGAGTAACCAGAGGTGTTCAGCCAGCCATATAACGGTCCCTACATACATGTCCCTTATATACACACATACCTCAGACCATCAGACCTTCTGTAAGTGGATTACAGGCAGAGTCAAAGATTTCAAAGCATGTTCCACAAAGTTAGTCACAGTAAAGCACCTCAAACCAACACGTTGCCCTGTTCACCATACACATAAAGAGACACTAGTTTTTACCCAGTGGACTGAAACGATAGTTTAACTTCAGCAGATGCCTTTAATTTACTACTCAGAGTCTAGATGTCAAACAGGAAGCTGCAGCTCTGAATGAAGGTGTAGATTTACAGTATTATATGGCCTGAGTGACATGTGACTGTCAGGGGTTCAGGAGAGTCTCAGGGTGGTTAATGACCGCTGATGGTGTTCTCATGCTCGTGCCGGTCAGATGATCATTTGCAGTTATATAACGTGGCAGAAAAAGGCTGTTCTGGCTGTTCTGGCTGTGTCCACTGCCTCGTTGGCTCGTTCAGCATAAACAAGCCTCATGCACCTCACATGCTGCCAAACAGAGAAATCTGGTTTACTCACTCTCTCCATGTTACAACAAGATGGCAAGATGGTGGCCTGAGAGGAACACGTGCAGGAAGAAAGAGGAGAAATCACACGTGACAGCAGTTCACACACTCCAGCTGTCTGCATGTGAACAGGGAGGAACCCCCTCAGATGGTGGAGCTGTATGTGACTTTAGCTGTGAGCATGAAGATACTAGCTCATTCAAATTAGCTGATATTCTGAGGGTCCCTCATAAATCATCTATTTCTGGAAGCTCGTGACTGTGGCAGATCACAGTCTGGATAATTCATCCAAGCTGTTTGGTAATTTCGTAGCAGCAGTTCAAGTAGCTGAGTAAGCATGAGTACACATGTCCGCAGAGATGAGCTAAGAGCTAACACCGATCAACGGGAATGTAGTGGTTTTTAGTTGGACAACAGTTCCTGTTGTGAGACCACAGCCGTCCTTTGTTGAACCTGCCGCACCGGGATGTTTACATGTCAGCCTCGTTATCAGCTGTATGTAAAACCCAGATAAAAGTAAAAACCCACTGTTAGTAAGGAGTCTCTGGAACCTCTGGAACAGCGTCAGAGCTACTTGTCGTGTGAATTCAAATAATTCCCATATGCGATGTTTTGATGATGGTGATGATTATGATAATGGTGGTGGTGGTGGTGGAGAGCACTGGCGGCACTGGCAAACACTTTGCTTGAAAATCTTCCATAATTGTTCAGTTGGTTAAGATGTGCTGACTGAGTAGGTGAGATCATATGATTCAAACCATTTAGTGAGCTGTTACAGGGGCGACTGGTATAAATGGGCTGACTCATTTAGCCCTCCCTATCGTTCACATTAAAGATGAGAAAATGATTGTTAATAAACCTTAGAACAGAGTAATGGCGTTAGCATGAACAAAGTGGATTATTTACTTTCTCATCCACTTTCTTTGATTTCTATGGAGGAGCAATTGGAAGTGAAGAGACTGAGGACACATCGTCCAAATCAGTGGTTCTCGACCTTCCGGGGGTCGCCAGATGGTTCTGGAGAAAAAGTAAAACAACATGTTAATATATAAAATAACATATTTTAGACTGGGAAATGTTTTTTTTACACATAATTATATATATAATTTACCTTAGAACAGGTTTTATTGAGTGTGTTTTTGAGAGTCAAAGTCATATTGAAAAATAAACTTAACGTTTGTCGCTTTTGTGCCTCAGTGCAGTGCTTAACCAAGAAGCTACAGCACTTTTTAGCTATCACATGGAGTGACTGTGGAGTGATGGCTTCTCAGAAGAAACATTCCTCCATGTGCACAGGATGAGAAATGCGTTGTTATTTGTCATACTACTTCTTCTTCTTCTTATTATTATTATTATTATTATTCTTCCCTACAAATTTCACCACATAACTCGTCCCACAGCTTTACAAAACCCACCATTGTAAGTTGTGTTTACAGCTTTTTCTTTCAATCATTTCCTCAACACAAATTCTGCTTCTGAACATTATAAAGTTGCTAGATTTTAAACCTACAGATTGTTGCTAAATGGTTTTGGTGAATTCGTCGTGGCTTATTTTGCTGAGGGTGCAGTTCTCCAGACGCAGGCTGCAGGGCCTCACACAGGACGTTTTAACAGGCTAATAGTAGAGTAATCAAGGCACGATGAGGCAACTCTGTCCCTCAGGGAGCACATTATCCTGCCACATCACACGGACTGCTTTAATTCTGACTTTACCACATTATTACACATGATTAGAAAATTTCAGATGAGTAAAAAAATTCCTCTTGTTGGTAAAAATGATTCTGATTTGAACAAATTCCACAGTAGATCATGAGTGGAGAATCACATACAGCTGTCTGTGTCCTCTGCAGAGTCTGAGCTTCTGCAGTTCTCAGCTTCCACAACAGAACTTCACACGAGTCCACTGTGTTCCAGTCTGAACATGGTGAACACAGACTGCCCTGCTGGGTCACATATATGCGATTAAACGGCCCCGGTGGGTCTCCAGTGGGAGGAACCGTGACTCAAAGGTTCCACATAATGCTCATGGTAACACGGCATCAGTTCACCAATCTAACACAGTCCTGCCAGAGCTGTGGTCAGACTAATGGCAGGATTATATGGCCAGACCTATTACACATTCACACAGTGTGCTGTTGGAGTCACTACATCAGATGAAGGAATTAATGGTTTTCATGGCAGGGCTCATTCTTTGCCTCACTGGCTCCATCTAGTGAATTTGATTGAAAGCATTTTTAGAGAAGAGCTAATATTTTCCCCATGAGGAGGAATCTCAAACACTGACAAAACACAAGATCACCGACGAGGCAAAGTGGGAATGTACACAGAAGAACCAGATCCAAAGGGTGTAATTTAATTACTTCCAACTTAGTTAGTGAATTTGCAGTACTGAAGTACAATATCAACTGTGGATCTTGTATTATTCCATCATATTGTAGCCCCATATGTGCTATATTTATTTATTATTTCACTTATGCATTTAATGTATTCATTCATTTCATTTGCAAATACCAAATCTATCCATAGTACTGGTTGTATAACAAAACTTAGAAAGGCTCTGTAAACCTCTGTATTTTTAAGGCATTAACCTTTCTTAAAATCACTTTTAGTTTCTTTTGGTGAATATTACTGTAGACTAAGAGATTTTTTTTTTTACCCAAAAAACAAATATGTGCTGCAGACAGACAGAGTTGGGGAAGCTACTCTGAAAGCATCCAAGCCAGTTCATCCTTGTGTCCTAGTGAATGTTTGTGCCAAATTTAAAGAAGTTCTGTCAAGGAGTTTCTGAGATATCGTGTCCACGAGAGTGAGACAGACAAACGTACGGACGGACAACCTGAAAACAATATGGCTCTGGCTCTGACTGTCGCCAGCATGGAGGCATAAAAAATCTCTGTGAAGAACTGCACCCCACTCCTGCTGTTATTGCTCGTGGTGATGACTGAAAGACACTGGAATGATATTAGCAGCACATGTATCAACTCCTGGTCAGACAAGAAAATGAACCTGAAACAATAAAAGTGAGGAGGACAAAAATAGGATTTTGAAAAGTGGCATGTCTCCCCAGAGGAAATGACACCCTTGTTGTCTGATATACTTTCTGAACACATATATCAAAGGACCAGTGTCTAGGACAGGGGTCTGGTTACATTTATTCACATACCGTATCAAAACTATCAAACTCAAAAACCTTTGGATGAGCTACTGGGAGCTCATGGGCCACCTGTTGGAGGCCCCAGATTTAGGATTCAAGAGGATCTGGTGGCAGAAATTGAATTTAATATTCATAATTATTCAAAAATGGTTGTGCCTTTGTAAGCTTTGAATGAGCTCTTCATCTCTTCATGGGAGGGACCCCTGTCCCCCACAGCCGCCGTGTTTCTACAGTAGCCCAGAACTGACAAATCAAACACTGGCTTACCTGAGGGCCACCATATGAAAGGGAGGGGTGAGGGGAGGGGTGTTTCGTTGGTTGCACCTCACCACTAGATGCCACTACATCCTGCACACATGTCCTTTTAAACATTTGAGTGTTATTGGTGTGGCTGAGGGCCATCAGCAGTATGTTACTCTGCCTCTAACAGTCACACACTTGACACCAAAGAGAAACCTTTAGCCACGACCTTCAGTAACCTCTGATGTCATTACACAGACGGGGTGAAATGGATTAGCGGTGTTGTAGCAGTTAGCGGTGATGACATGTTCTCTGTGTTTCAGGTCTGTCTGAGGTCTCTGCCTCTATGAGGTACAACCGACGGCCTACCTGCCCCGATGCCTCTGTGGGGGTTCACATCCCCACCCCTCCCCCCTCCCACCACAGGAAGAGCCATAGTCTGGGAAACAAGTGAGTACAACAAATTCTAATTGCTCTCTACACTCTCAAATGCAAACCCTAATTTTAAAAGCAGTAGCCATGACAACAACACTGGTAAACTTGTGGCTTCCTCATTTACTTACAATGTTAAAAACTCATTTATGTGTTGAAATTCCATTTTTAAATTTCAGTGTTAGTATCAGTTGGCTACAGAACAGAGAAGAGCAGAGAAAATAACAGTGTTTACTATATCTACTCAACATTTCTAAATTTTTAGAAGTATGCCCGGCTTTACCACCAGGAGCAGACTGACTCAGCAGAGGTAGGACCACACTGCAGCAGTGAAAGGTGCCCGAGTAAAAGCTGAAGTGCTTCAAACTGTTTGTGTGACAAAGTAAAATAAGACAAAGTAATAAATAGTACCAGCAAATGTGAAGTGTGTCTTGCTCCACAAACAAACAACATTAGCATATGCAGCTAACAGCTACAGTACATAAAGCAAGTATCACATCAGCAGCAATGGTTGTGTTTAGTTTTGTTTCAATGCTTCACTAGTATTAGTAGGCTTTCAACTATTTGGCTCATGTAGCCATGAAGCAATAAAACAAAGCTAAGCAACTGATTATGAACATGTTTGGACACATGCAGAGCAGCAGTTAGCACCACGACAACAAATAAAATACAACTGTCATAATGTTGATCAAATGTTTAAAGATTCAGTTACAAGTTACTAAAGAGACACAGACATAGAAGATCATTCAACACTGATACTGACATACTAGTAAATACACTATATACTGTATATCCCAGCCATGCGAAGGACAAGGAGAAGTTAGCAGCAAGTTAGTCAATAATAATAATAGTAATGTTGAAGCCCTTGCACAACCACAGTCCACCCACATCGGTGTTTCCACTTATGTTGACCTCTGTTTAGGACGGTGTGGTCGTGTACAAACGACCTTGGGTGACGAAATTATACTAAAATCCAGTTCTTGAGTAAACGTACGTTAGTTACATTCCAGAGTTCCACATTTTCAAAATCTGAAGATCTGCTGATCATTGTATTCCTACATTTCCTGTAGCCATAATCCCTGATGTGCTGAATAGTTGTGTGTATGAAGAGTTAAAAACCTGTCCGAGCACTAATGGGCACCATTTTGTCGATGTAAAATCTTCCACTGTGGTCTCAGATCTCAGGCATCATCAGGAGATACAATAATAAAACAGTCAGGGAAAGAAACAAGAGTCAGGTTGAAAAACATGAATCTGAGCTTTAAAGAAAAAATTCCCTTGAGTGTGAAATGCACTGTAACATCTATAACCACCACCTGTATGTTTGTGTCGGTGTCTTTTGGTTGACCTGTTTTCCACAGTATGATGTGTCAGTACGGCATGTCGGAGAGCAGGAGCGCCACGTTTCCCATAGAGAAAGCACGACACCTGCTGGACGACAGCTTCTTAGAGTCTCAGAGCCCCGTCAGAAACGACCCACACAGCACATCTGTGTCCAACGGCCTGTCATTAGGTATGTACACACTGTGCCATACAGTCATTGTCCTGGTGAGGGCTTAAACATGTAGTGACGTTCTGTTCAAATTAGTTCTGATTAGTCTCATCAGCTTTTCTAATATACCTGAGACCAAAGATTGTTTTTTTAAATTGTTCCTAATAGGCAGCAGTGAAAGCTCTTTTGGGGAGGAGCTGTCACCTGGAATGGAAAGGTGAGAACCCTTGTCTCATATTAACCTGTCATTTCATCTTGAAGGGTTTTAATTACTTTAGAAAACTGCAGTGTGTCTACAGTATTAAAGTCATGTGTTGAACTATTTAAGGACAGAAAGAACTGCTTCTCGTGCTTTTCTTACAGTGACTTTAATAAACTTTAATTAACATAATAATCAATAAGGTGATTATGAACCTGCAGGAAGGTTCTGTGAAATAATGAGGCTGGTGTAAGATGTTTTGTGATACTGTATCAATTCTCAAGAACACACTATTGATTTTGTATAAATAATTTACATGCAAAGATTCGTAGCAGACACTTTATGGAGCCTGGTGGTTCTTCCAGCTTCTACCTGGAGCTCAGCTCTATCATTTTATTTATTTGATAAAGGCAAATGTTAATTCCTTTGCTCAGATTCTACAGAAAATAGTGCTGTTGTGATGTTGGATGTTACAGGGAGTAAGATCTAATTTTTAAAGTTTCTTTACTCAAACTTTATGCATATGGTGGTGTGTCTTTATATTATGACAGTTTTTCCCAAATTAGATAAAAAATCACAATTCACAGTTCCTACTGAAGACCTGATCTTTAGAAACTGGTCACAAATATATATTTTCTTTTTAAAAGAGGCTCAGTAATTTGTTAAAACAGCTGGACACAGTAGTTTTAATCATGTGTTATTCAAACAAGAGAAAATAGTGCAGTAGTTGTGGACTATTTTCAGCGGCATATTAATACGCTTTTCGGCGTGTGTTCATTGTGATGGAGCAACATGTCACTCAGAGCATTAGTGTGGCTCACTGATGTGTTTTAATAGATGTTGGAAACAAAGGCGCTCCATGGCTCAGAGGCAGAAGATATACCAGGCTTTATTGTTGGTTTGGTCTGCACATTGATTTGTTGACAATAAGAAAATATCAACAGGTTAACCCTTTAATCTTTATTTGAATTTGTCCTTGTCACCAAGTTGTATCTGTGCCTGTAGCATATTCATTGTGTATATGATATCAATGTATTTGAATGTTGCTAACATCCTACGTCAAGTTAATCATACTGTATATCTGTGTTTGTCCAAGCAACAAGATAAAAGTTAAATCTCATCTATATCTACAAGTGGCAGATTAAAGACAGGAAATGTACTGTGAATGTAAATAGTTTGAATTTTGTTTTTGGTTGACGCACACATTCACACTGACTGTGACACTGTGTGACAAACAGGGGCCGCATGTATGCTACACTGGGCCCCAACTGGAGGGTCCCGCTTCGCAACTCCCCCCGGAGCCGCAGCTATGTTTACAGGTACAGTGGAGTGGGCGGAGTCAAGTTTAAATAAGAATGAATCCATCTTTACTGGGGAGATGATGTGTTTTATCTCACCTCATCCCCTCACTGCATGCTGCTGGAGGCCAGGAGTCACTTCTACCTCTGCTTCGTAAAGTAAACACTCCACTTCTCTAGCTCCAGGTTCAGGCTGTATTTTAGTCGTCTCCCAACTCTCTAAAGGGAGAGCTCACGTAATTACTAAAAACGTTAAATGAAATCTAAAGCAGATCATTTAACCAGAACCATGCTGCTAATGGAGCAGTGAGTTTTATAGACACTGATCCTGGACGAATTTTTAACAGCACTGTAAAAACTATGATGGAGTATTGCCACATTGAAGAAAAAAAATTTAAATTAGGAGAATAAAGTCATAATTTTGAGAATGAAATCATAATATTTCAAGAAAAAAGTGATATAATAATATATAATATAATTAGAATAAAGTTATAATTTTAGGTTCCATGTTGTTTTAGAGGGAAATATCAGAAGCTTTAAAATGAGGAACGTGGAGCATCCTGTGAAGTTCTACTTTAGCAGAGGTTTTACTAATAAGGAGAGACTTCATCTTTTGGCTCATCATCATCATCATCATCATCATCATCATCATCATCATCATCATCAGGACATTGAAAAAAAACTGAGTTTATTCTATTGTCAGACAGACAAACAGCAGCTGCCAGAAGCAGCTCAGACTGATACTGGCTGTTCTTTCACCTCTTTGATTGGATGATGTAATATTCCTTTCTCTTGAAATTTTACATTTTTAATTCTCATAATGTTACAACTTTTTCTCTTAAATTTACGGCTTTGTTCTTGTAATATTATGACTTTATTCCTTAACGTGGCCCTAATATTCTGACATAAAAAACGAATTACTGTGAACAGTAAAAATGAGTCTCAGACATGGGGTCGTTTACTGGTCTGGGTGCTGTTTGAAACTTTTAGCTCCTTGTTCCAATATGATACCAGATTCCAGTGCTGATGCCAAAACTCAGAACTGGACAGTTTCTGTTACTCAGTGCTGCAGGACTACTCAAAGTGTCCGTACTGAACCCTGGGCACAGAGCTCTCAAAAACTGGACAAATCACACAGAAACTGTCAACATGGCTAGAGGTCAAGTCCAATCAGTTTTTATTTATGTAGCACCAGGTCACAACAGAAGAGATCTCAGGGAACTTTTCATAGAGAGCAGGTCTAGACCAGACTCTATACTACTGATTACAGAGACCCAACAGTTCCCACCATGAGGCAGCACTTGGTGACAGTGGCGAGAGGCAGAACCGAACTCAGGGAGGATACAGACAGACAGTCAGAAAGTTTACAGTATTATCTCATCAGCAGGACGACATGGACTGTCAGGTACAAAGCCTGAAATAAAAGAATAAAGAGCTGACTGAAAGTTGAACTGTAAAGATGAGTTTTAATTTTGGATTTGAAGCCTCAGCGGAGTCAGGCAGTCTGTCGGCAGGGAGGTTGTTCTACTGGGAGGGGGCTGAGAGGAAAAGGCTATGCAGCCAGCAGACATCTTTTTAACTGTGGGGACAGACGGGAGAACACAGAACACAGGAGGGAATATTACAGGTTAGAAGGAAGGAGTCCATGTAGAACTTTTTAAAAGCTCCTTAAAGTGTGACCTGATGTGGACAGGGAGCCAGTGAAGAGAAGTGAAGAAACTGATGTAATCCCGTCACATTTTCTGGATTTAGTTCAAATTCTTGCTGCAGCATCTGAACCAACTAAAGACTAGAGGTGAGAACATATGAATATATTTCACCCAGCAAATGTCATAATGTGATAATGATCTGTAAATGCACAGATCCATTATTTGTTTATCATCCATCAGCACAGCTCAGGGTCAGTTTGAACTTTCAGGTCCTCACAGTGTACCACCTGCATCATCACACATCTGTCACCGGGAAACACACACACACACACACACACACAAGGCCTAACGTTAGCAAACGTCCTGATATTCTTTATAAATGAAGTTAATGGAGTTACTGATGAGGTCAGATCAGGGCTTCACTGCTCCAGTCTGTGACAGTCACTGTGGTGAGCTTCATGTTTGTCTTGTCGTCTCAGTCATCTCACTATAAGAAAAGCTGGGAACCATAGTGTGAGTGTTGTTGTCCTGCATGCTGTCTCCATGAGAAGATGACTCTCTCACACACGCTGTGATGTATCCATAACACTTTATCGACAGTCGTGAAGTCAAATGTCACATCATCACTGGGACAGTAGCAGCAGAGTGTCAGTCTTTGTCTGTTGTTCCATAGATTTGTACCGACATCATTTTCTACTGTCAAACTCTGACATAGCTCATAGCTGGAAATAAATCAAATATCCAGAAACACTGCGTGCTTTATCAGTACCTGCTCTATAGCTGCATTAAATGAGCGCAGGGTGAATCAGTTTGGTAGAAATGTAAACCTGTATCATGTAGACTCACTCACTGACCTCAGAGACTGGTCTCTGAAGACTGAGCAGAAACCTGTTTCACTAGCTCATAATGTGATTGTGTCACTCTCAGCTCCTCTGCTGCCAACTCCTGCTACGGCTGCAGCGAGGCCGGCGGTGTGACCATCGAAGGGCCCCTGAGGAGGAAAACCATGCTGAAGGAAGGACGGAAGCCCAAGGTGAGTTCGCCTCTGGTCTTTGACACCGTGGTTTAAGGTTGAAAGGCCTGATCCGAAGACTGTGAGATGTTTTCAGCACAGCCATTATCCTCTGTCTTGCAGTTGTCATCGTGGACCAGGTTTTGGATTTCTCTGTCTGGATCAACGCTGACCTTCTATGGGGCCAAAGCTCTGAGGGCCTCTGAGAGGAAACATGTGAGTTTGATGCTTGAAGAACATGAGACTGCTCAGACTTGAACTGAATATTTCTACTGTTCCAAGAAACATCTCAAGAAACTTTGCTCCCACATCGGCTCTGCAGCACCCCCTGATTAGCTTTAGCATTTTAGAGGTGCTCCAAAACAAAAGTTTTTACATGCATCAGAACGAGGACAGTTAGTTTAAAGAAGAGATTTAAAAGAGGTCAGTGATTCTACTGAGCTGATTTCCTCAGGCAGCTCGTTCCACAGTTTCAGGCTCTGACTCTGAAAACTCTTTCACGTCTGGTTTTTAGCTTTGCCTCAGGAACAATAAGAGACCTGAGGACCTGAGCTATGGGTAATGAGGTCAGATGTAACATGGAGAGAGGCCGTGAAGAGCTTTCAAAGTCAACAGTAGGATCTTAAAACCAATTCTAAAACGTACCGGGGGCCAGTGTCACGAGGCTAAACCAGTGTGATGTGACTCCAGGAGGAGTGACCACATCACACAAGTCCGCAAGACCACAAGTCAGTAGCTGAGGTCTGTTCAGTCTGGAGACAATTAATGGATCTTTGGTTGAGGCAGGTGACGAGGCTGGTGCAGTAGTAGTCGAGGCATGAGGAGGTCTCTGTGTCTGTAAAAGATAAACAAGCTCATATGTTGGATATATTTCTCAAATGGTGAAAACAAGACTCCACAAGTTTTGTGTGCTGCTCAAAATTTAAGTTGCTGTCAAACCAAACACCAAGATTCTTTGCAACAGGTTTGATGTGTTCCAGCAGGCTGTCAGCAGATGGCAGTGGTGTTACTCGATATCTGATATGAGTCTTGGGCAGGGGTGTTGATCGGATCCACCTCAAATATGGTCAGAAAAGCCTCAAGACCTTGATGATGCGTTATTGTGAAGATTGTGAATTTTCATTGAATGCTGTTGCCATGGCGGCACGGTGAATTTCAATGTTTCAGCATCAAGCTGTTGATGTAATTCAAATATAAATTGACCAGTATGTCTCAAACTTCAGTTGTTTGAGCAGAGTCCCAGTCTGAGGACATCTACAGCTCAGTATTCAGTGAGAGTGACAGCGCCACCTACTGGCAGATCAAATACAGTCAGAAAAGCCTCAAGAACTTGAGTTTTATTGTGACGATGGTGTTCTCGTGGCGGCGCCGGGAGCTTAAGACTGTTTTAGGCTTTATCTGTGCACGTGCCTGACTTCATGCCCGATACACTGTGGATTTTTGAAACTCTCTATCTCTCATTCTTCTTCCAAAACACACCGAGCTGTAAGTCCTTCAGCTCCCCATCGTTTCAATCCTTATGATAATGAAGATCTCAGCTGGTTTAAAATCAACATCGTATGCTGCTGCTCGTCTTCGCTCTCCATCAGAAAGTTGATCACAGCTCTTTTTGTCTCATTTGTCTCAAAGCCCATTTTTAAAGAGGTTAAATCACAGCTACAGCATCATGTCAGAGAGCAGAGAAACACATTTATACCTTTGTGGTATTGTGAGCTCCAGTATGTAGTTTCCACATCTCTCTGTAATCCTCTGTCTGCCACAGTACAAGTCCAACCCCTGCAAGAAGGTGTGTGTGACTGGATGGATGGTGGTGCTGCCAGACGACCCGGCCCGGCCCAACATCTTCCAGCTCAATGACCCAGACAAAGGTCAGTTTCACACCTCCAGCAGAGCTGCTGCTGCTGCTGCTGCTGCTGCTTCCTTTTCCCTTCTCTTCAGTTCAGATAATCACACATATCTGATCTGTGTTCCTTCACAGGTAATGTTTACAAGTTCCAGACTGGATCCAGGTTTTCGGCCATCATCTGGCACAAGAACCTGGAGGAGGCTTGTAGGAGCAGCAGACCTCAGGTATGTTCAGCACACACACTCACCTGTTTGGACCATGGGTCAGTTTTGGTCACTCAAGAGATCAATGAATAGAAACAGAAATAAACAGGATATGATGGTAAGATTAAATATTTGAATCATCAGCAGGAACAGGGAAAGAGTTTCTCCACCTCTGTGTGCCATTATAAACACATTCATTAGATTTAAATGTATTAAATGTATGTAACTCTGCCTTAAATACCTGCTTTATGATAGATTAATAACCTAATTTTACTTTAACGACTTAAGTTTTATTGACATTTTCAGGCATCAAGAAGGAGTAGACATTACACTTGTACAGGAAATGACATATGTAATATATAATGGACAACATCTTATAGACATATGTATATATTTTCAGAGTCAGATATAAAGGTGGACTTTAGTTTCGTGCAGTACAAAACCAGGTCCTGGACAACACTGCTAGCCGAGCTAGAGTAAAATAAATACCTGACACCAGCTTGAAAACTGTCTTCTTTACATATTTTGTCTTGTCAGAAAAAATGATGTAAAAAAAAAAAAAATATATATATATATATATAACCCTGGTGTTGTGCTTTCAGAGGCAGCTACACACTAAATCCTCTCAGCCCCTTCAGTACACACAGCAGCCACATTGTGCAACATCATGTCATTGAACAAGCAACCCTAATTAAAATATATATTTGAATATATTACGTAATATATCTACATATAAAATAAAAACATGTAAAAAGAAATAAAAAATAAAAAAAAGGAACAGGAACAATTTCATATATTGACATATATGTCCAGCCCATACAGATCTGTATGTTTATGTATGATTATGTATATTGTAGACATATGTTACATAAATATATATCGTTCCCAAAGTCTGTCAATATATGTTGATATTATATACAGTAGGGTCCAAAAGTCTGAGTCAGAAGACAGACATGTTAAAAATGAATAAGGAAAACATACTGTATATAACCATACAGAACGTTTATATGTATGTTGTTTTAATAAACTAGCATATGTTAAAGATATATTATTAACATATATTGTCACTGTCATGTTATACCATATAAGAATCAATCATATAGATATTTTAATATATGTACATATACAGATTTTACTGTGGATATTTCATATATGTTATAAACTTATATCTTCATATATCCAGAGGATGTTTATATACTGACTGCAGATTCAGTCGGAGAGCAGCTGGTGAACATAGTGGAGCATTTAGCAGCTAAAGAACCAGATTTTTTTTTTTTTAAGGAGGTGGTGGAGACCAAACACAGAGCTAAAAGAGGCAATATTCATCATGTCACCAGAGTCATGACTCCAAGTTGATGCTTAATGTGTAAATAGCTTTACTAACACATTAAAAAACGTAATAATATATCAATGTTGATTTTACAGCTTGTTGTACTGCCCCCAAGTGGCCAAATAAAATCACACAGACACAGAGCAGCCTCCACGTGAGACCCTCTTTCTAATATTCTGTTCTCTCAACAGATACCAGCAAACCTCATGTCATTTGAATGAGAGCGGACTTTATCTGGGAGGGGGGGGGCATCATTGTGCCAAACCCATTAGTTTGGGAAGTATAAACTAACTACAGCTGATTGGTATCTAATGAAAGAAGCATGTGAAGAAGCTCCTGCACCTGCCAACACACCTGCGGTCTTCTTCCGTGACTACGTGTAAAGTAAATCCTGGAGAGACCTGGTGAGGCTGTCCCCTTGTTTCTTTCTCTAAGCTTCCTTGTTCACTGTCATTTGTTACGCTGCTATAAACATGTGAGCAAGCACATAGTTTTTTTGGCCCATGTTGGGTTTCTGCGTGGGTGAAAAGATGCATCAGTGCACAGATGTGGACCACAGTGTTAGCTGACCGATATCGAGCTGCGGTGCACGGACCAGTGTTATATGGCCTTCAGATGGAGCTCAGGTTTTCCGTACGGAGAGTTGAAAAAGACGACGAAGGAGAACACGGATCCCGATGTGTTCTGTCGTTCAACAGGATGAAAGATCTGTCTGCATCAACATCATATCGAGGGAAACAATATCACCGCACTCATGATGTCGGATCTTCCAGAGAAGGTGTGGAGCATGAAAAACGTGACCCTGTTTGAAGGCCTCATCATTACTATGAAAGATCAGCAGAAAGGGCCGACGATGACGTTCAGCCCTGTGACGAACAGCTGGACTGAATTTATAGTCATACAAAAATAATCTAGAGCCACAAGCTTGGCTTCAAGAGCTGGTGTTGAATTGTGGGTAAAATGAGGAAGCAGCCCTGGATCAGTTCACCTGTTCATCCCACGCTACCTCAGCTGGTAGTCCTCCTGTAAAAGGTGTTTGCTGATGTACAGAGCAAAGGTTTACAAACAGCAGCAGTCACTATTTTCTACAGAACAAATCAAACACCATGGAAACGGTTCTGAACACAGTGATAACTAATCAATAACGCAGAGAGCAGCCAGCTGTTGTCCACACCGAGGCCCAGGCGGCTGCTTGAGTGAATTTAAAGCAATCTACAGTGAAGTAGCGAGCTTTCAACAATCATGTGTGTGACCTGTGTGTAAATACTGTATTTATTTGTAAAAGAGTTTATTTTTGACAATTGGCTGACAAAGGGAAACTAACCACCTGCTGAAGGAAGCGGATCCTCAGAGAGACTGTTGGTGGGAGGCCACCCTAAAACCTAGTTCTCCTGATCTCACACTGAAGGACCCTGGGAGAAGGGAAGACTCCATCAGCATTGGTACTGTTCAATAACCTGCTTAAAAAGCTAAATGTTATGTTGATTTAAAGGATAATTCTACTTTATTATAACTGGTATCGTATTTTCTTGGTTTGTCCGTCCTCTTATCAGTCATAATATTTTTCTCCAAGGTAATGTGGAACACAACAAGTCAAAGGAGTTTAAATATCTTGGGGTCTTGTTCATGTTGTTGCTGCTGGTGATGTGGATATTATGGCAGCATTGAGCCTGAAGTCAAGACCGATCTTTGTTCTGATGCTCACCCGGGTCATGGGTTTTGCACTATGATCAAAAGAATACCCCCAGAGAAGGGAAGAAAGCATCATTAGGGTCGGGTTACGCTGGAGAAGAACTAGTTCATACAACATGTTTTGCAACTGTCCCAAACGGCCACACCTGAAGGCGCTGGTCAACAAGTGATTCTGCTTCTCTGCTCTTTTTTTAATCACATGTAGACCTGATCTTGTGACTCTCTTCTATGGAAAGTAGCTAAGGTTTGTCCAAAAAGTCACTAGATTTGTAACTTGGTGCTTTTTTGAAACAAGACTAGGTCTAAACCTAGTACAAATCCTGATGTCGTCTGACCAAATCATCAAACACATAAATGAAAGACAAAGACTGAGCTGTGATTTCAGCTGTATTTACTTTAACATGATCACGCAGAGAGAAAGGTGGAAGAGACAGACTATCTTTCTTTAGTCTTGCACACAGCTCACAGCCTCTCGTGTTGCAGTTACTGCATTACATGTTAATATAAACTAAACACTTCCTATAGCTGTTTCAAGTTTTTTATTATATAAAGTTATTTTTTTTGGCAGTTTTTGCCTTTATAGGGACAGTGAGAGAGTGACAGGAAAGTCAGGGAGAGAGAGGGGATGACATGCAGCAAAGGGCCGTAGGTCGGACTCGGACCCATGGCCGCTGCGGTAAGGACTGAGCCTAAGTGGTTGTTGCTGGTGTTTCTGTTGTTTACATGCTATTCAGATCAGTTATTCAGCTGGGAAACGGGAGCAGCTTGCTAGACTGCCTGTAAAAAGAGGCCCCCAGTCCGGCATCCATACACGGTCCAGACCTGAACCAGGTTTATACCTAGTCTGTGTATGAAAAGTCTCTAAATCTAGAGACAATGAGCTAAGTTGGCAACACTGCAGCTGTAAACGCCCCTCTAAGTCACATGGCATTCGGCTGATGACGTAACTCAATCACTAAACTCTGTCACTCACTCACTCAGTCAGTCACAGACATTTGCATTTCTGCTGTTGCAGTCCAGCCAATAATATCTGAACCTCTCTCTAGCTCTCTTTCTCGGGGGCTCCTTTTCTCATTTCTTACACAGTCACTTATTTCTCCTTTTGCTTGTATGTACAAATGAGTTCAACCAGGAACCAGGAAGTTTGTACAATTTATCTCACCACTCTAGGACAACCAGCTTTTCCCCCATCCCCTCCAGTGTGGCCGTTTGGACCTATAACCGCCTGTGATGGGGCTTGATAACACTTTGTATGAACTAACTTGAATGAAGCATAGCCAGGCCTCGAGAGGGTCAGACATCTGGAAGGAGCTCGGAGTAGAACTGTTGCTCCCTCACATTGAAAAGAAGTTTTTGTCCAACCAGGAGAAGGTCTCACCCAGAATACACTGAGGGGATTGAACAAGGCCTGGAGGATGTCTCTGGCAGAAAGTCATGTGCAGACACATTTCAGATGCACTCACTTTCAGTTTGACCTCTAAATAAACAGGTTTAGATAATTACTAAAAATAATAGATAAAAACTGTCGGTGTCTTCGTCAGATTTTGCTGTAGCGATGTAATGTTGTCATCACTGATGGAAACGATGGTAAAGGCTCTGAAAATAAGATCCAAGCTGTAATAAACCAGAATTATCCTTTAAGAGTGAAACTCAGAAAAATGTAAATGAAGTTAAATATTTACTAATAGATGTCATATTATTTCTAATGTCTCCCTATTGTTGTAAACCACAATGACTGTCAGTAATTTATGAAATCAACCATCATGGTGGCAAAAAATATTGAAAAAACAACTTTCAGTAATCACAGTGTTAAAAATCTACAGGTTTAATATTCTTTTCTTCTTTTCTTCGTTCATGAATTGTTCTTGACCAAAGTTAGTGTGGACGAATAGATTTCTTCAACCAATGATTCTCCAGTATTATTGTCTGTCTACAGATGAAGTCATAATGCCTGTGTCTCTTACTACAAATCACCTGTAATTGATTGAATCATTCTGCTGCTGCGTTTCAGAAACTGGAATTGACTCTTTCCATCATTCCGGACATTCACCCGTTTCCATTGTCTCTCTGTGGGGAGGAACATCAAGCAGCAGACTCCTGAAACTTGCTTCTATTAGTATTGGTGTATTCTGCATATCAGTCAATTAATAACAAGAGTGGTCAACAGAGGGAAAGGTTATGTTTGGGGTAATTTAAGAACTTTACATAGTTTGTCCACCAGAGGGCACTAACCTGTTTATTTCTAGTGGTGTGGCCAAAGACAGTCTATAAGAAAAGATGACACATTACAAGCAGCACCACTGCTATGAAATGGTTTACACTTCCTGTCTCCTAAGTGGCCGTGGTCTTGATTGCTTGTTCATACAGTTCATACAGTTTGAATTTACGCCTGATTTTGCTGCTCGTTTTAGGCAATATTCAGCAACTGTGATCTGAGGCTGCACACAGCCTGAGTCTGAACTATGGACAGAACGCTGTTCTGAGATCAGATGTGAGGAGAGATTTCACTTCCATTTCAGTATCATTCTAATTGACGTCTGTTTTTAGCTTTAACTGGTCAAACGTTGCTCATCTTGCTTGTCCCGACAGCACACCACTACTTCAGCTACATGATGCAGTAATTTGTAATGTTTACAAAGATTATTGCAGATTTCATGTGTTAGGTTATACCCGCCAAGCAAGTTTCAAGGGTCTGCTAACTGAGTGTCAGAATCAGTGGAAACAAGTGCCTGGAATGATAACTTATAAAAACTCTCATGGTCCATGAAGACCAGAACACATTTCTTCATCTTATAACAGTAGAGCTATGGCTGTACCTCTCCTCTAAGCACTAGTACAAACAGTAATTCCTCGTATATAGACCATAATCACCAAGCATCACCTGTGAATGACTGAGCCTGTGTTCTTGTGTATTATTTATTTTTCTTTTATGATTGTGGTTGATCTGAAAAAAGGTTTCTGCACTGATTGAATGTTGATCGATGCATTTTTGATTCTGTGTGGAAACAGATATTTTTCTTTCATGTCCTGCTGCTGTTGATGTACAGTTTATTTTACTGTGTTTGAAGGATAAAACTTCAGTAAAGAAACAGTTGAAGATGTTCAGGTAACAGCTTGTCCTCGGGTCAAATATAAAATGTAGTATTCATTCATCTGCTTATGTCCAATATAAACACATATACAGTCAGAAGGGATCAACACAGTCATATGTGTTTTGTTGCAGTGGCTTTGAATTCACCTTAATGGATTTAAATTAAACCATGAGGTTAATCTACTGATTTTTAACTTCAATTAAAGGCTAATAGTTAGTGCTTTAATCTCATAGTCGTTGCTAATTGGTCCATTACACTGGAGTTGAACCAAAACAATAACCATCACTGTACAGAATCCTGTCTGACTGCTCTGTAGTTCCAGGATATGTTCAAGAGTGCAGGCAACTTCTCAGCTGTTTCATTTACATGTGAGCTTCAATATCAAGTCACTAATTTATTCAAGAGTCACCTGGATTCTGTTTAGAGTTAGCAGTGTTCAAACCTGGCAATCCCACTAAGAGGACAGGATGAGGAAGGCTGGAT